CAACCCTAACCCTAACTCTATCTCTATCCCTATCGTCTTCAACAAATCAAATTTTGTCTCACATTCTTCGGTTCTTCATCCTTTTTCCACATTAAATTTCCCATAAACCTTTCTCTTAGTAAAAACAAATATTCTCTTCTAAAAAAACCCGATAGTATGACGAACTCGCGAAAACGAGACGCAATTACACAGTGTTCCGGAACCTACAAGAGGCGTGACACCGGAAAGGGCAAGGAGACGGCGGGATCAGACTCGGACTTAGATCCAATCTTTGATGTGCCAGACATGAGTACAGTGGCTAACGAGTTCAGATACTACACATCACAGGCGAGGGCGTTGGGCGAAGAAATGGTTGGTGTCAAATTCTTGCTTGAGAGGCCTATTGATGAAGCAAGCTTCACAAACTGGGGTGTGAAGCAACTCCTAACGGATAGACGGTTGTTGGGTACAGTCAAACTTGCCAGTAAACCTCAACGCCTTATGTTTGAGAATACTGTTGTGTGCGAGTTCTACGCTAATCTGGAGACGAGTGCCCGAGATGATGATTTTGCAGGTTATTGCAAAGTGTATATCCGTGGGGCTATGTACGATTTCAGCCCTACCAAGCTCAATGAAATCCTAGGCACAAGGAACTTGGGAAGGTTGCCAGCAAGGCTTGGAAATGAGCGGCTGGCGAAGGAGTTGACAGGCAGGTCTAGCCTGTTATCGGTCTCCGGCGTTGTCATCAGACGAGGATGTATGTTGTTCTTCACGAGATTGGGTGTTTCAATTGGTTCCCAACCAATAAATTGGATGATGTCTCAGTTGACCAGGCTGTCGTGTTGTACAGTGTTGGACGGGGTTTGGACTTTGATCTAGGCGAATTTATTTTTCGCCGCATATTGGAGGAGGTAGAGCGTGTACCTGTTGTTTTATCATTTTCTATTCTAATATTTGCTTTACTGTATGAGCAGGGTTAGGGCGCCCAAATCTGCGGACTTGAATACATTGGATCCGGTTCCAATCAAAGTCACCCCAGAGCTGGATCTATTCCGTTTAATTATGGAGAACAGTTGAACGTGATAGATGGTGAACTTTCCACCTTTTAAGCTCAGGTCCGCAATTTCTTTGACACTGTTGCAGAATAGGTGCCCAGACAGCCAGATGATGCCTCTCATCCATGATTATCTAAAAAAAGTCAAGTTTGTTCTTATTAATTAACGATTATCAAACAATATTTTTAATTTTGCAGTTTTGTTTTCAAACAATATGTAAAATTTGGTTTTTTAATTTTATTTCAACTGAACAAGATGCATATATTTTTGGTGTGATGGACTTTGGGTTGGATATGCAGGTAAAAAACACAGTTGAATTGTTTGGATTCCAATTTACTTTTCATTGGAATCCAAACAAACTGGGTTGGATTCGACTATGACATTTCTGTATAGTGATGTGCTTTTGGTTTGTACATGCAGGTAGAAAACACAGTTGAATTGTTTGGATTCCAATTTACTTTTCATTAGAATCCTAACAAACTGGTTGGATTCGATTATGACATTTCTATATAGTATAGTGCTTTTGGTTTGTATATGCAGGTAGAAAACGCACTTGAATTGTTTGGATTCTAATTTACTTTTCATTGGAATCCAAACAAACTGGTTGAATTCGATTATGATATTTCTGTATAGATTTGTGCTTTTTATTTGGATATGCATGTACAAAACACACTTGAAATGTTTGGATTCAAATAATTGAATTTTAATTACATTCATAAATCTACACTTGAAAGGGTTCTATTATGTTTTTTTGGAATTTACTTATTTCATTTGTAATGCAGTATGTATACTAAACAGTTTGATTTATAATTTATTATAAATGATAAGTAGTTTTTTGCCTTTATAATATGTTTATTTCTTGATGTATTGTGAGTGTCGAATATTGATATTTAACAATTTGAAATATATAAAAAAACATCCTGTGTAATGAAATATTTCACACCGTAATATAATAATATGTTCTAATCTAATAAGTTTGTATTAATTAAATATATGTTTTTGGACATAATTTTATAACATCTAATATGAAAATTTTACCCACAGCCTCGGTTGTCGTGCAAATATCCTCAAGACGTTTGGGTTTCATCTAACCCTCTTTTAACCGCACCATCCACATAAGGCCGTAGTGTGACAATCAGCCTGAAAATCTTCAATTATATCTCCCTCCCTCCTCAACCCTAACTTACATAATGTCTTGCTCGCGTAAAAGACGAAGATTGGTATGCAGATCAACCGACGACGGGTTGTTTGAGATGGGTTACGACAAACTGATTGCTAGGGATTACTTCTTTTACAATGACAGGGTAGCGTGATTGAGAGAACAGTTGGAGGGGTTGAATTTTATGGTTGAGAGGTCGGTTGACGGGAGTTTGAGCCGTTGGGGTGTCACTTATCTCTTGGAAGGGAGCCATTTCATGGGGACTGTAGTGTTGCCGGATAATCCGGCGAGAATAGCTTTTGCGGAAGGGGCTGTGCGTGACTTTTATGCGAACTTGGAGAAAAGGGCTGCGGTAAGTGGATCCGCATATTTTGGGCAAGTGTATGTCCACGGCGAGGTTTTTGAGTTCAACCCGACTAGGTTGAATCAGGTTTTGGGCACCAAGAATGTCGGAGGGGTGACATCTGGGGCTTCAGCTGAGGAGATTGCGAGAGAGCTAACTGGAGACAAAATAGAACATTGGCCGGAGTCTGGGGTTTTGCGGGACCACCTGACAAAGAAATATTAGCTTCTGCACGAGATTGGCTCATCCAATTGGTACCCGACTAGTAACAATAATGACGTGTCACTGGGTAAGGCGGAGTTACTATTCTCCGTGGGTCGGTGGATTTCAACATGGGGGAATATATATTTCGCCAGATCTTACATCAGGCAGAGAGAAGGCCACGATTTCTGTATTTTCCTATTCTGATTTTTACAGTTCTGTGTGAGCAGGAATACAAGGTTCACTTCACTGGGAGATTCAACAACCACAGACCAGGTGCGATCACAGTGAGCCGTGAGCTACTTCAGTGTAATGCGAAGGTGGACGATCTCACCAAACTTGCCACCTCGTCCACTCCGGCTACGGGCGAAAGAGGGTGCATTATGGTGTGGGATTTCATTCATGAATATTTGAATAAGCAACTGGAACTGAAGCGTGGTGAAGTTGCCGCTTTGGAAGCTCAGATTAAAGCTCTTTCCATCGGTGGTCTGACTAAATTGCCCCCTTCCTCCCCCGACGGTGCACAGGGCGGAGTATATCAATGCTTGTGTTTGTAGCCGGGTTTTGTTTTTGATGTAAATACACCAAGTGGTTTGTTAACGGTTGCTTCATGATCAATATCGTATGACAGTTAAGTTTTGTGGGTTGTCATATTTTTATTTGTGGTGAAAATTTCTTTTTTTTATTTTTTTATTTTTTGTGTGTTTGAAATGTTATAGATCTCGTTCTTCAATGTCGTTATATGTCAATTTACATAATAGCAATTACAAATTAGACATAATTCACAATTTTCGGAATTGCACGGATATTCACATTGGTGGTCGAGGTCGTGGTGGTCTCATTGGATAAACACTTTCCACAAATGCTGGGGTCTGGAAAGAATTGTCATCGATGCTTCCATCCTTTAATATTACAAGAAGAAATTATCATTATCATATTTGTGAAATAATTGAATATATGCTTCATAAAAGATAAATTGTTAAACCTGGTATTGAGAACGTTGATGGTGCATATTGTAAGGAATATTTGAATGTGTCACCACATTCATGTCGGCAAAACTGTGCTCCGATGACATTGGAGAAAACTGGGGAAATTAGCTTCTGCTGCCCACGTTGTCGGAACCACTTGCTGATTGCTTAGAATTAACTTTACCACGAGACAAAAAACCCGCTTTTGGATTAAGTTCACAAGTGGTTGTCTTGTGTCCAGGTTTCATTAAAAAATCTCAAATAAACTAATATAAATAATACTCCTCTCAAATTTATGTATTTATATAAAATAGATACGTATCGAACTAACCTGCAAAACGAGCATAATTGCTTCTTTCGTATGTATCCATCCTCCTTTTGAAACAATTTTACAAGGATCGACCACATTTCTGGGACGTTTGACACTATGAATTGTATCCTCACCGTCAGAATGTAATTGTAAACAAGATTCATCATCCTCGTCAGTCGGGGTGATATTAAATTCAATCCCATCCTCCCTCATCTTTACACGCCCACTGGTGTAGAGGTTGTTCGTCTGCTGATACGAGAAAGCAGATGTGAGCCGCTTGCCAACATCGACAACCACCGGGGATTGATGCTTTAAGCCGGAAACTGATTCAGTTTCAGATGCTTAAAGGAACATATGAGATGCCGGCAAGAGATACCATCAGATTCGAGCATCTTACAGTCGCATAAGAATTCTTCCTTATCCAAATCGACGACAACCGTCAATTCGTCCGCCGGGTCGAAGTTGTGGTCTTCGAAATTGAATGTGAGCCGGTGGCCTACAATATCAAATCTTCTAATAATAATTATGTTTGCCTCCTCCTTCAACTGAATTCGTACAAGCTTAAGAATGTCTATGGTGCAGATGCGTGCGGCATGGCCCTCAAGACGGCCTACTAAACCTTTACCAGATTGTTTTGGTTGAACCTCAGACTCTCTCTGCAGTTCTTCAAACCTTTTTTGAATCCTATTCAGGAGGCCTGTGTGGTATTGTCCGAAAAAATCTGTAAGTGTGGAACCAGCACGCACTTTCTGTTTTAGTGAGGCATTCATTGACTCCGCACATTGTGTGCTCCTCATCATAGCAAATAATTGACCCCGAAAAAATGATTCTGCCCATTGAATGCGTTTTTCGTAAAGATCAGCTAGGTATGGATCGTCTGTAAGATCAAATTTAGCAATCAATGCAGACCACCTATCTTCGAATTCAGGTACGGAGCAAGGCATATTCATTAAATTGGAAAATTCTGTCGAGAAGCCTGGCTTTTTTATGTTTGATTCGACATTACGTGAAATATGTCAGCAACAAAGCCGTTGGGCTGCCTCAGGAAACACAATCCTAATGGCCGCGCCCATTGCCCGTCTTGATCTGCCAAAACAGCTTTGGGTGGCTTTCCTCCCATGAATTCTAGCAAAGTCTGCAGCAACCACGTGTATTGTTGAGTCGTCTCCTTGTACATAATAGCAACTCCAAAAATACATGCGCACAGATGGGAGTTGACTCCGGAGAACAGCACTACTGGAAAACAATATATGTTGGTCTTGTAGGTGCTGTCAAATACTAAGACATCACCAAACTCCTCATAGTCGGCTTTTGATATACCGTCGTGCCAAAATATTCTTGTTAGAGCTCCACCTTGATTGATACTGTGTTTCTATTCCAGTGTTTTGTCTTTCAACTTCATCCCGTCAAGTAAAACCAATAAAGTATCACATCCCCTAGTTCAATCCGTTTCAACCTTTCACTGATCGGGTAGTTGTACGTATCCTTCTTATTCAATACGACAGTTGTACTGCCTCCACCGAGATGTTCCAGAAGGTCCAGAACTTGACTAGGTTTGCACCCAACATGGGTCATCGTATCCAACATTATCTTTGTGGCTGGGGTCAATATTATGTACCCAATTTTCCAACAAACAGGCATGGGTACATTTAAATGAATTTGATGTGTAAATTTCAGGCAAACGAATATTTCGAATCAACCAATCTAAGATAAAATTACCTATTGCAACAAAGAATATGGCTGGTATTGGGGGTTTCCATACTGTGATTGTGCTTAAGCTCGAAGTCAGTCACTCTGTATCTCCTAGTAGAACCATTGAGAGCAACACGAAATAGAGTAGGGCATCCACACCGCGTCTCTGGTTTATGACCATGCAATCGATCGCTTTCATCAATTCTCTCCTTACGGTGGCCCTCTCGAGAGCAAACCCATACTCTGTTCAAAATGATGTCGTCTACCATTTTCATAGAGTTCTTGCGAATGTCAAATCTAGACAGTTGCGCGAAACATTGATAATGCGCACCTGCTTCGTTTGCATCAGCAAATGTTAGTGCTGTAAATCGTTGAACGAGTTGCAGACTTTCATCGCCTGTGTCGCCATTTTTCCCTTCTCGGTTCGAAGTCGAAACACCTTCTTCTGCCCAAGTTGACGAGGCTGAATCTTTCTCGTCGCTGTTGTGCTCTAATTCATCCCCGCTGTTGTGCTCTAATTCGTCGCCGCCGTTGTAATCTAAATCGAATAATGCGAGTAAACTTAATCAAACCCCTAAGTTTTCAAATAATACCACAACTGTAATTGCATATTTTAGATAAACACACAACATATTCAATTAATGAGATACCTGATTCATCAAAATTCGACATCCCTAATGCAACGGTTTTTTAGCCGGAAATACGTGGGATTTTTTTGCCAGAAAAATATGTGGGGTTTTTTCGCCGGAAATATGTGGGATTACCTGCCGTAAAAGTTCTCTTCAAGATTAGAAAATGAAACGACAGGAGCGGGAGAGAATTGTTGAAGAGATGAAGTCATATAAGGATAATAAAGTAATTTCCATTTAATTTATTAATTTTATTGTTTAAATTTAATTTCTGTAGCATAAGGGCATTTATGACAATACATAATTATAATTTAAATAAACATTTACTTTTGTACACGTGCGGCCAATGAGACGCTATCTGATCTCAGGCAGGAATTAGCGATCGGACGCTAGAAAGACCCTTGTCACTAAATTGTTTGCATTAAGGTTGTTTATGGGGCCTCGGGGTGCAAATACAAATTTACTCTTAGGGGATTTATCAAAAAAAGAAGAAAAAAAATGTGAACGGGATAATTACATTTTTAGTCCCTATATTTATCACCTAAAAAAATTTTCATTCTCAAACATTTACCACCATGAATTTGATAATAAAATTTACAATTTTTTTGATAATTTTAGTTGGACTGTCAATTTGGGCTATTAAATTAAACGGAATTGTCATGTGTGGCCAACACATGACGTATATTTGGTAGTCTGATAATGAAGTGGAATATACATAATGACACGTCATTCTTTCCCTCTATTTCTCTCACCCAAAATCTTAATTCCCTTTGAATGTAAACTCTACCCCAAATTTAAATTTCGAATACTCAAATTGTTCACTTGATTTTGCCTATGTATTCCCCTCACAAAAATAGGTAATATCATATTTGTGCTTTGGAGCGTTGTCGGTGAAATTAAAACCAAATGAAAATTATAAAAATAATGAGAGAAATGAGTTTTGAGAAATTTTATGCATTATCATGCGTGATGTTGCCTTATTTCGCATCAATCGGGGGATTCAAAGATGGAATTTGGGATTACGGTTTTGAAAATTTGAAAATGCATTTTGGGTAAATACGTGGTAGAGGAATTAGGGATTTTGGTTAGGGAATTAGGGAAGAGAGAGAGAATCAAGTCTAACGATTAGGTGTCGTCCAACTTGTTTTTAGACTGCCAAATAGACATCACGTGAGGCGCACGTGACGGTTCCGTCCAACTTAGCAGCCTATTTTGATGGCAAAAAGAAAATTGTCGAAAAGTGGTAAATTTGAATCCGATCGAACTCGTGGCGGTGAATGCTGGAGGACCAAAATCATTTTGCATGGCAAGAATATAGACTGAAATTTTAAGTATTCTAAATGTAAACACTATCAGTATTGAGGGTTTAATTAGACCATTAAGTTTGATGGAAAACGGACTTAAGAGCAACTTCAATGGTACGGTAAACATTAAAAATGAATTATCAAATACTTATATATAGTTGAGGTAAACTGCGTAAAACCCCTATGTGTTATGGAAAAATTGCACCAAATCCCCTTGTGTTATTTTTATTGAGTAGAATCCCCCTGCATTTTATTTTGTCTTGAGTGAAATCCCCTATACCGTTAACAATTAACACCGTTAATTGTTGAGGGCGTTTAATGTAAGTTTTCTGTAAGACAAGGGGGTTTGGTGCATGAAAAGTGAAATTTATGTAAAAAATATTTATTTATTTAAAATTTGAATTTTTTTTAAATTAAGTCAAGAGCATTTATTCAATCCTTCAAAGTTAGTTTTTTTGAAATTATTAATATAATATATTTATATCAAAACTAAATTCAAAATTTCATATTATTTGTAATCTTTCTACGTATAACACATCTAAGCTAAATTATATAAATATATAGCAGTTTTGATATTCTAAATATACAGTTTAAAGAACACATTATTTTTAAATACATTAATAAATAAAATTTTATCCAAACTTGGAAATTTCCAACATTTTATTTAGTTTCAATTTTGAAGCATTTTTTTAGTAAAACAAAAATAGAATAAAATTTTGGAAATCAAAATGAAAAACAAAAGATGTTCTAAAATTTTAAAAAATAATTGGAAATAACAAAAAGAAAATGTTATAAATTTTAGGGGTTCTTGTGCACAAGTCCCCAACCAAGCATCTTTATTATTTTAGATTTAGGGGTTATATCTCTTTCACCAATAAGCTCATCCCTTTAATATTTATTATAAATAAAGGAAACATTCATGTATATGTCAATATTACCCCCAACCTTTTATACCCAGTTCTTAATTGTAACCCCAATTTAATCAATTTTGTCCACAAAAATCCAATTTTGACTTTTTTTTCAAAAAAATTATTTTTGCCGCCGGACTCAGGCGGTGACTTTTTTTTTTTTTTTCCTCTTCCGAACTTTTATGCCGGTTTCCGGCGTTGGCCCGCGTCTCCGGCATTGACTTTATTTAGTGTGTTTTTTTTTTTTTTACGTCCGCCGCTAAACGTTGACCGTAATTGTGTTGTCACTGACACTAAATTAACGTAATTATACTGTCAATGACAGTTAATTAACGTAATTGTATTGCCGTTGACAATACATTTATGTAATTGTTCTGCCGTTGACAGTAAATTAACGTAATATTATTATTTTTTATTTTTTGTTATTTATTTTTATTTTGTTTGATTTGTTGATAAGTCAATGCAATTATATTATTGTTGTTGACAGTAAAATAACTGTAAACACAATAATATTACTGTCAACAACATCAATATTATTATTTTTTTTGGGTTTTTTGTTTTGTTTGAGTTATTCGCAGACTAACGTAATAATATTACTGTCTATTATTGTAATATTACTGTAAACACAATAATATTAGTGTGGTTGACGGTAATATTACTGTTGTTATAATAATATTGCTGTCAACCACATCAATATTATTATTTTGTTTGGATTTTTTTGTTTGTTTGAGTTTTTCACGGAGTAACGTAATAATATTACTGTCTCTTATTGTAATATTACTATGGTTGATGGTAATATTACTGTTGTTATAGTAATATTACTGTCACTCACACTAATATTAATTCTTTTGGCTTTTTATCATGTTTACATTTGTTGAACGGTCAACATAGTAATATTACTCTATTACACAATAATAATGAGATTTGTTGTGTTAATATTACTGTGCTAGAGATTAATATAGCAGTATTACTGTGTTTAACGGTAATATAGTAAATATTACTGCCAATCACAGCAATATTGATGTTTAAACGAAAAAAAAATGTTACCGAAAGAAAGAAAAAAAAAAGAAAAAAAAATCGAAAAAGTCAACGCCGGAAACCGGCGAAAAAATCCAGAAGAAAAAAAAATTGAAAAGTCACCGCCGGAGACCGCCGTTAACCGCCGGTCAAAGCCGGAATCTGGCGGCAAAAAAAAAAATTTTAAAAATTATTTTTTTGAAAAAAAAAGTTTTGGGTCAACATTGAATAATTTGTGAAATTTGTGGTCAAATTGAGGTTAAATTAAGTTAAGGATGAAATTGGAGCATATTAAAATATGAGGGGCTATTTTAATCTTTTACAAAAATCTGGACCATATGTGGACTTATTGGTAAAAGAGTTTTTTGTCTGGACCTCTTTATGAATAAGTACACATTGATAGGCTTATTTGTAATGACCCCTAAATTTTATTATTAACGTTAGTCCTTAATCTGTTATGTTGCAATTGAATATATTTGTTTGACTCATTTAAAAAAATAATTCAAATTTTAAGTAAATAATTTTTTTTTGCATAAATTCCACTTTTAATAAACATTATGCACCAAACCCCCTTGTTTAACAATAAACTTGCATTAAACCCTCTCAATAATTAACGGTGTTAATTGTTAACGGAATAGGGGATTTCATGCAAGATAAAATAAAATACAAGGGGTTCTACGTAATAAAAATAACACAAAGGGAATTTAGTGCACCTTTTCCATAACACAGGGGGTTTTATGCAGTTTACCCTATAGTTGAGATAAAACTTTATCCATTCATGTACTCAAACCATGAATATCAAATTACACAGAGGGTTTTATGCAGTTTACCTTATAGTTGAGATAAAATTTTATCCATTCATGCACATAAAGGGTTTATGTGCCTAATTTTATACCAGAAGGGGGTCATAAGCAAAATATCCAAACAACAAGGGGGTTATGTGCCTAATTTCATACCATAAAAGAGATTATGTGCAAAATGTCCAAACACAAGGGGGTTAAGTGATATTTACCCTTAAAAGTTTT